GGTAGTAAGAGAGCCATGCTAGTTCTGGCTTTTATTCCATTTGGTTGTTGGGCCTAAGAGGACAGGTGATTGGTATCCAGTCATCAATCTTTCTCGTCTATATCAATGCCTAGATTCTCCAAGGTTTACAATTTACTCATTCCTCAATCTGAGTTGGCATTTTTTACTAGGATTGTGGATGTACAAGTTTGTTGTAGTAAACTCCTATCTGCACATTGCCATAGTGGTGGTGTCCCATCATTATTGTCATTTTTTTGTGCTCAAGGGTCAGTTACTTACAGTTCAAGGTTTTACCTTCGGACTAGTATTGGCATCACATGGGTTCTACCAATTCATACAGCTTTTTGTCATCAACTCCATTCCTTAGCCTTATGCACACACCATTCCATAGATGACTGGTTACTGCTGGTACCATCTCATCAATGGTCAGAAATAATCAAGGCAGCTTCATTCTCAGAACTTAGACATCTGTTCTTGCTTCAATTTAGTATGTCATCAGTCTGGGTATTTGTAACCTAAAGTATTGAATCATTATCAGGTAAGAGTTACATACTGTAAAAGTTACTGTTATTGTATTTTAATAGTTACAAAGTTGTAACCTAAAGTATTGAATCATCATCAGGTAAGAGTTACCTACTGTAAAAGTTCATGTTATTGTATTTTAATAGTTACAAAGTAGTAACCTAAAGTATTGAATCATCATCAGGTAAGAGTTACCTACTGTTAAAGTTCCTGTTATTGTATTTTAATAGTTACAAAGTAGCAACCTAAAGTATTGAATCATCATCAGGTAAGAGTTACCTACTGTAAAAGTTCCTATTATTGTATTTTAAGAGTTACCTACTGTAAAAGTTCCTGTTATTGTATTTTAATAGTTACAAAGTAGTAACCTAAAGTATTGAATCATCATCAGGTAAGAGTTACCTACTGTAAAAGTTCCTGTTATTGTATTTTAATAGTTACAAAAGTAGCAATCTAAAGTATTGAATCATCATCAGGTAAGAGTTACCTACTGTAAAAGTTCATGTTATTGTAATTTTTTATTTAACTTGGTTGTGAGTTCAAACTAACCTTTTCTTACATCACTGTAGTTTAAGGTTAAATTAAATGTTATGATTTATGTTTTAAGTAAGATTTTTAATTTCTCATTATTCCATTTACTTTACTTTTGATAGGGTTCCTACTATATTTTAACCAGTTGTACCCTCATAGCCTTGTGTTTTAATGTTTGGTTTTACCTGAGATTTTTTTTAGAAAGAACTTTTTTTTAAATTATATGTTTATTTTTTATCTCTTTCTCTTCATTTGGTTATGTGTTTTCATGTGAGGATTAGAAAAATGACTGTTATAATATAATGTTCTAGTTCTATGGTATAAAAAATTAGATGTGTACATTAATATACTTTGTGATGTTACGACAAATACTTTTAATGTAACAAGTTAGATATTTAGTTTAAAAAATTTCCATCTGTGATTGAGCTCTGGGTGAAATGATTAAGAATATTTAACTGAGAATAAATTGCTATCATCTCACTGTTGCCATAGCAAAGGACACTAGTTAATTAACCCAACCAACCACTACGTATGGAAGACAAAATTCATATGACCCAAATTTAGAATAAAATAAAGTACCATATGACTCATTGTTAATGCATAGGAATGTACAAGGAAAATGGTTCAAAGAACAGGTAAAGATGGGAAAATTAGTTTTTACAGTATTTTAAATGAAAGGTGTAATCAGTTTACTTGCTTTGTTTTGGAAATCTCTGTTCTACAGTATGTCAGTCCTTTACTTCTATCAGTTTACTTGCTTTGTTTTGGAAATCTATGTTCTACAGTTTGTCAGTCCTTTTTTAAGTAAACTGATAGCCAAAACAAAGCAAAATCTGTGTTCTACAGTTTGTCAGTCC